CAGGTTCCCCAGGCGGGGTGGTACGGACATGTCTGTGCCATAATGTTCGGCTGCAGGAATTGGCTTGACAGGCAAATGAGTGGGGCAAGTCCCGTAATTCCCAAGGCGTGGGAGTTTCTGCTAAAATAAGTGTGGTATCACCGTGGGTGTGCCCTAGCTTCTGCAGGGGGTTGGGATGAGTCTAACCTAGCTCTGCTGGCAGCATCCCAGACTGCAGGACTGAGCAGGTAGGAGTAGTCAGTAGCATTTACTGTTACTGCTTACAAGTCCCCAGTGCCTTCATTACCTGTGTTTTTTACATCAGTACATTATAAATAAGATTACATTACAGAGGCTGGCATCTCTCTTCTGAAGGAAATTCCCTTTTTGTTTTGTTTTCTTCCTTGATAATATCTCAAAACTGGCTGAATAACTCCAAAGCCACAAAGCGTGTGACCAGACTATGCCTAGGCTATGCTGCAGTCTGACAGAGACAGGACTTAAAGGAGATAGAAGCAATTATCAGTTCTTAAGGTAGCATCTAGGGCTATTTTGTAGCTGTTCTCTTTGGAATCTTTACCAATGTTTTAATACAGCATGGCGAGATTATGAACGCAGATGTTAGTATTGAAGACAACTGTCTTGAGGAGAGACTGCTTTTCAAGGAGTCACAGAAACACAAGACAATATAAAAGATAAAATATGTGGCAACATTCTTTTAGTTACTGCTGTCTCCAAGAGTTGTTTTTCCTGTTCAGGCCTTCTCCAGGAAGTACATATCAATGATGCATGAATTATAAAGGCCAGCTTGCCATTTAAAGCGTAACTTATTTAGGCTACTTTATTTATAAGGAGGTGCAGGAAAAGCAAAACAACAGCCAAGCTACAGGAACTGTAAGATCATGTGACAGAGGGAATGAAAACTGGACTACAGCATAGGACCTGATAGCTTAAAAATACTTCAAGCGTTGTGTTAAAACATACAAATGCTGCTATTCACACAAACTGCAGGTGTTCTTCACGCTTTTCATCAGCACTGTCTTTCAAGTACAGGATCTCTCCTTTAAAGAGGGAATGCAAATCGAAACAACAGTTATGGTAAATAACACGCCTGTTTAATGCAAATAACTGTAATTAGCTGGCTGTGATGTAATGGAAATTCCATTCCAGATGTACATCTATTAATTTTCTTCTGTTTATGTGCTACACCTGATGGAGTTTTCCAAAACCACAAGTCTTTCATACCCTCCATGGCCTCTGCTGGCATGGCAGGACCAGAGCTAATGGCAGGACATGGTGGCAGAGGAGCAGCCCTGGAGCTAGATCCTGAGCTATGGTAACATCTCCAGTCGGCCAGGTGGAGAGTGGGAGATCGGTGGAAGGATTAGTGATGAGTGACCTAGTTTTCTCCCTCATTACATCTTCTCCAAAGATACCCACCACAGTGACCAAAAAGCAGTTATCAATTAAGCTGAGAAAGCCACCTCGTTAGGGGAGATTATGGAGTACACAGGACAGCTCATGCCAGTTACCACTCCTTGCCGCTGATGCTGAAATAATTTACAAAAAAGTGTGACTGGAGCTACTGGAAGCAATCGAGTCAATGCCAGCTGCTGGCATAAGGCAGGTACAGGCCAGGGCTACACCACCGTTTTCATGAAGTGAAACATGGCTCTTGGGCACCAGCTTTGTGCTGTGTTACAGGGTGGCACTACAGCCCAAGTCCCTCACACTCAGAATCAGCAGCAGGGCTCCGCTGACCTCGCACAAGAGTATTCTCCTTTTCTCACGTTCATAAATGCAGTTGTGGGTTTTTTTGCTCTTCTTCTCAGAGGGTGAGGGAGAAGGAAGTAGAGGAATGGGAAAGCAGCTTAAAAGCCCAAACCACTGAAGGAGCCGGACTTGATTTCATTTGAAGGGCGGTGAGGTTTTTTGCTACCGCACAATTTGGGAAGCTCCACTGAAGTCGGCCTGTTGGAGGCACAGCTCTCCGCCTGGCCTCAGTTCTGGTGCTCCCACACAGGCATCTCTTTTGTTCAGAACCCCAGCCCCATGTATTACATGAAGTGAGTACAGGATGACTAGCTAGCCGATGGACTATTCAAAGTACTGTGACAAAGAGCTCAGAAAAGACTTGAACGTGTTGCATCTGATCAAGCTTCTTCAGCTCTTGAGGCTCTATTTTTGGGCTCAGCATTGCAACTGAACTTCAAAACCCTGATTACCATGCTAACGTGCTAGCATGTGTGGTTTTTAAACAGCTGAAGAATTAGCATTTTTAACAGCTATTTCTGAGTATCCCTTATGGCACAAGACAAAAAAAACCCCTCAACTCTCCACATTTCCCAAATGCAGGGTTAGGCAGCTCTTGTCAGTGGTTTTCTGCGTGCATCTGCAGGGCGCAGAGAAGCACAAAGCCCCGAGGTGTCTGATAGGCAACGGTTCTGCAGCTGCAGGTGTCCTACTGCAAATTAAGTTTCCTCCCCAAGAACAGACTGCAGCCCAACAGGCTGGTACTTGCATCCCTGATGTATTACTAGAAATTTAAGGTTAGTATAGTATGGTAGCTAGTCCATATAACCTAAAAGTCACATGTGCATTTCAGAGACTGCCATTTTCAGCTGAAAAATAGGAAGTGTCTGGAAATAAAAGTGGCCATTTACTCAACATTTTCAAGCCTAATATCTGCAGAACAGGTTTATTACAACCAGTATACTGAAAGAACTGATGTAGGAACATGGTAGAGAGAAGGAGGAAGAGGAGATTTGTAAAATTCCCCCAAAACAGTCTAGTTTGAAGCTAATCAGCTCCTTGTCTACACAGAACTAGCCGTGAAAGTCTAAAGGAATTTATTTAGTTTACTTATTTTGTAGTGTTTTTGCAGTATTCATAATGCAAAGCATTTAAAAAGGGATCATGTTTATCAAAGATCATCCCCTCTAGTTCCTGTATTAGCTCTTTGCTTTCTGTATCTTGTGTGCTGGACTGAAACTTAGTACCAAATGACACTACAGCATTAAAGGCACACAAGAGCGATTAGAAACAAAATTAAAGTTATTCATGCTGTTACTCTTTTTAAAATTGGGGTCATCACAAACCTAACCCCTCTATAGCTTACGGCGTGAAAGCACAATAAAGGGTTATGCAGAAGTATCGCTGCCATATTAGCTTTAATGCTTTACCCGATTTCTTTCTTAGTTTTGGTGCCCGACTTGAAGGAGGACAGGGAGAAGGATTCACTGGTACCTTTTGTGAAAAGGGCCTTCTGTCACAGAGACTCATTTTGCATGATAGTTCTGGCAAATACCACCTTAATTGTCTATGCTCATCAAAGCAGCAGTCAGGGGGATTGCAACTCAAGAGGACAAAGCAACCAGCCCAGTAGTCCTGTCTCCTCAGAGGGAAACGAGAAGCCAAAGCCACCAAGTTACACAGAAACACATTCTCAGATGTTTTCCTTTTGTAGTAAAGATACCTTAAAGTTGGGGGTTTTTCCCAAACAGCATGAGCAGGCTTTGAACTTCAAGGGAACCAGGCTACTTTAGTCTTACAGAATAAAAAGGGAGGGTAGGGAGACAGCCTTTTTGTAAATAATAGTCATTTGTGAGTAATAATTTAAAAAAGCAAAACCAAATAAACAATCGAGGTTTAGGGAACAAATAGATTTAGAAGCTTTAAATATGCAGAAGTGACATTTTGCCAACTCTTGTTTTAAGAAGTGAAATTATACTGAGTCATTGGTATGGTTTTCCCCTGTCCCAGCCTCCACAAAAAAGGGCACCTAGAGCAATAGCTTTTAATATATTACATGTCTAGTTTTCCAGCTTTGGAAGGGGTGTGTGCTTTGACAGATGCCCGAATGAATTAAATTAGAGGTTGTGGGAGCTAAAGTTTTGTTTCAAAAACCTGGACAGGACCAACTAGTTTAAGATGTTGCCATAAAATCCAAAGTTTCACCCCACTAACACCTAGCACTGCAGCTGTATGAGGAAGCGTACTGGTGGTGATACAAGCAGGACCCGTTCTCTCAAGCACATTTCAAATTCTGTTTCAAGAAGTTTAACATATAGAATCTAGAGAACTGTTCTGATACTGATGCATGCCATGCATCCAGGATTGGAAGCTTTTTTTTTTTTTACTTCAAGACATAATTTATTCTATACAGTTGTTTATCAGCATGGCATGCATTTCCCCATGTGCCACCTTTACTGAATCACTGCCATAAGCAAAATTTTAAGGACTCCAGTTTGAACAATTGATCAATAGTTAAGCATCTCTGCTGAAACCTGCCCGTCCACCGTTCAATATTCTGAGTCAATTTTTAACAAGTATGCTTAATTTTAGGGCATTCAACATGCAACAAAATGTAGGTCGTTCTTAAGTAAATTTAAGCATTTTGAAAATACAGAGGTAATTCACTAGAACCACCACAGAATGCGGGAACTGGAAAAGAGTACCACCATGTTAAAAATAGAGGATCTAGCCCCTCCTCTTCAGTGTTTCAGAAGTTTTCATAACTTAATTATAGAGAAATTAACATAAGAGTTGTTGATTTAAAAAAAATAAAACAGAAAACCTGAACTCATTAAAGAAGTCTCTTGGCCATCATTTGCTCAGGATATACTTTTTACACTTCCTATTCTGTGGCTTTCAGTAGAAAGCGACCACAAACTTCACACAGAACAGTAAAGTGATGCTCAACATTTGTGTACCAAAAGCGTAAGTATCAACTACTTCTTAGGCAATATAGTGGAGTCATCAGCAGGACCCTTAGTGTAACTAGTGCGCTTTTAAGACACATCACAGCAGAAAACACTCAGGTCAGATAATCTAGTTTTACTCCTTGGAACAAATACTGCAGAGACTTATCCACTTCTTTCCAGAAACAATCTTTTAAGGAAGTTTAAATATCTACCAGTGATACTATTTGCCAAGAGGTAAAATGTAAAAGCATGTTTTAAGACGTTTTACACCACATCCTTAGATTTAACTGTAAACAAACAACACCACCATGGTTTCAATGGAAGTTATTTAAATTTGAATGCAGAGAATACTTTATTAACTGATTACAGTTTTGATGACCAATTTTAAACCATAACTAATGTGGGAAACATAGTGGGGGACCTTAAGGCTGAGCCATATATATATAGACAAATCTGGATACTGATAATCTGTACATTTAACCTCTGCTTTTTCTTTATACATCTTTTATTCAGTGTCTGAAATTAATCAAAGGAAAAAAACCCAAACCCAAAACTGGCCACTAGTTTAATCTCATATCTGGAATGAATTTTTGAATGCAGTGTAAATCTCAGTGGAGATCAAACAGATTTTTTTAACCATACTCCAAATGAAGTGTTCAAGTATAACTGGAGTTTGTTGTTGTCGTTACAGCTTTGTGCCATTAATCTTCTCTTCCAAAAGCTAGTAGTTGTTCTCTGCTGTAGAGGTTAATCTATTTAAGACAGTATTAAACTTGCCTAACAGGTTGGGAAATCAATATAAATTAAGTGCCTGTGGTGTGTATCAGTTTTCCTGCTCTAAGCAACCCCTATCACTTAAGTGGACATACTTACAGAATTACACTGACTTACCAACAAAACCCAGAAAAAAAAAATTAATTTACTATTCTTGCACTGTGAACAGTACTCCTACACGATTAGGTGATAACCGTTTTCCATCTGTACAGCTCCCTTTTGTAAAGCTGGGCAACACATATGAAAGAAAGACAGACATCAACTGTTTGTGTTCTGAAAGGTATTTCAGTTCTTTAGTTCCAGTCACTGAAGGAAGAGGCAGAGGCAAGTTTGAATTATCCCAGAAAACTGAACAATTGGTTTTATTTGGTGTCTTCAAGATGCTTCACCTTCTGTGGGAGATGTAGGTGTTGTAGGAGAAACCATTTCAGGCTTTCGTGAAATTCTGTCCAATTCTGCCTGAACATCTGTTAAAACTGGCTTCTGACCTACAAAATAAGTGCGTACAATTCAGTCGTGTTTACAAAGCAGTTTTGGGAAAGCCTATAGTATCATTAATTCTCAAATCAGACAAATCCTAAAAATTGTTACTGCACGCTTTGGGTGCAGAGTAAAGGCATAAGGCCAAAACCCAAAAGAAACAGAAAGGAAAGAGTAGAGATAAAGTCATATCCTTCCATATTTCTGATGTCTCGAAGAAACTTCCATAATTATATATCAACTGTCAGTATATGAAGAGTTAATATAACGTATAAAATACAGAAAAGTCTATTAAGGCTAGGAGTTATGAATACTTCCACACAATTTTCTGCTCATATGTATTTTAAATAATTCTGAATGTAAATCAGGGGTTTCGCCACCGAGCGGTGAAGTCAGTTCTATGTCAGTGCTACATACTTGGTCAGCATAAACCTGACACCACTGCTCATGGGTGCACGCAGACCTGCGGATGGCAAATCCCTTTTTCTCCTCACCCACTTACCTCCTCCCTAACTTGGAATGGCACAAACATTTGTGCAGTCACACTCAGACCTGATCCAAGCTCAACAGACACTATTTTTTCTCCCCACCATTTTACTCCTAACTCTTACTGCCCAGTCTAGGTTTCTATCCTGCCATGTTCCATCACAAGAATGGAGAAGACAATAAGGGAAAAGGCAGTGCAGAACATGACAGCTTAACGCCATGACAAGCATGCATAGTACCCCAGGCTGTAAAGGAAAATTCTAACACACATGCAGTTTTAGCAGTGTCCCAGCATCCTTTCTGAAGATGCAAATTAACATGAACTATCCACAAAGCTAATTTTTGCCAGATGTACTATGCTGCTCTTCAAATCATTTAACAAAAGCTAATACTGTATCAGAATCAAAGCAGCTAACATTCTGCCTAATAAGCAGAGGAATCTCCCATAGCTGCTGAGGGGAAAAGTAATTTTCCAATCCCAAACTACTGTTTTAACAGCCAATTCTCAGATTTGAAGAGCGAGTGTCATAAATAACACTAAACACAAGACAGCAAATGCTGAGGAAGGTGAAGAAGCCACATCTAAACCAAACTTCCTTGTATCTATGGTAATTCCTTGAAAACCTTCATCCTTTGCAACGTTAAACCAGCTGCACACTAACCCTTCATTTGTTGCGTATTAGGAAATTTCTGAGAACGTTTTTTCTGCTTAATAGTTTAATTTTGTCCTTGATGTTTCTGCCATGGCCTGGACACAACTCTTTTCTGAAGTGCTGCCTCCATCTTCCTGGCATCGCCCAAACCCACTGCTGGCCACTCCCCACAGGATTTTTCAGTGGGTGCTCTCAGCACCTCCTATTATGTCAGCTGCATTTGAGCGATCTCCATATGCTGTTCAAACCAACACCGCTGACTCTGCCTGCAGTGGATTAGGAAGTACTTGTAAACCGCTCAGCCAACTGAGCTTTGCGTTTAAAAGAATAAAAAGAACACACATAAAAGACTTTTCAGGGTCAGTCTACATAAAGCATTAGGGCAAAGTGTTTTGTTTTCTCTTACTACAAAAAAATAAATACTAAAGTCTCACCTAAGCATTACTAACCTCTGGGGAAGCGGGGAAGGAAGATGTCTGTATAGGTATGTTCCTTAAGTAATACAGAAACATTTTAATCTGCAATAGCAAGAAGCACTGGAGTAGTCTTGCATCTAGCTTTAGAGCAGTTACTATTAGACATTATAATAATGCTAATTATTAATCACATCATATAGAAAAGGCTATCAACAGAAAGTATTTTTACAGTCAATACAGGCTATCACCAAACTCAGTCAAAGCCTTCACACATCAGAGCTAGATCACTTAACAAAAGAAAATTTTAAATTATTTTAACACTGACAGTATTGTTTTAAAAAGAAATCAATTTGAAATTAAGTCCAAATATATCTGAGTAATATTAAAGTGCATATATAGCAGCAGCCATTTTATTGGGATGGTAAGGAACAAAGGAAAAATGAAGAACTCATGTGGACACAATTAATGCTTAAACAGCTACATGAAAAGTTTTTCTTTGACCCTCTGAGAGCCATAGAAAGGCAATACTGACCTGCTGTGAAGACAAAAGCAAAACCCATATCCAATAAAATGTTCAGTTAAATATAGTAGTGTTCGTACTTCTGATAAACTATACTAATAGGAATGGTCCGCCACTCAATTTAGATCAAGTTGATCTTTTACCACTAATCATACCTGACTTTTTTGCTGATGGTGGCAAGTTGCTGCCAGCACCTCCAGTGCCACCTCCTCCTGGACTGCCACCAACACCACCGGGGCCACCAGGGGAACCAGTTTTCTTGCTCAGGAGACTATTGAAGAAGTTAGCCAGGACGCCTTCACTGGTAGCTCCAGCTACAAGGGGAGGGAGGAAAAAACCCCACAACAACACAAAACCAAAACAAAAGAGATTTTCTAAGTAAATACTGATTTAGTCTGTTAATCAATCTAAATAAGCATATTACAGAAAGCGGGCAAAGCAGCTATTTTACTTCCCCAGCAGCATTTGTGCCCTTATAAGAAAAGGTACCTTTCATATTGGGATCAATTTTTTTTGACCCAGTTGGGATAGGTGTAACACTGGCAACGTTTGATGTTACAGATCTATTTGGTGTCCTCGGAGATCCACCAGGAACTCTTGGAGAAGCATCCTATGCACAAAAAAAAAAAATTTCCAAAGCTGAACTGGTCAATCTTCTAAATGACTAAATCATGCAGTGTAAGAGTACAGCAAATGATGCATTTTGTTATTTCTCACAGCTCCTACTATTTTTTTTTTTTTTAAAAATAATGTAGTATCCCATGCAACTGAAATAACACAGGATTAGATTTTGCTGATTGTGTACAAGTTTTTTCACACTTGTGTCACGGTCTTAAAATATTAACTTTAGTGCAACTAAAGCACTAGTGAAGCTTTTTATTTTATCCCAATGAGAAACTTGAAAATCCACCTGTTACTCAGTAGTGCCTCTGACTGTAATGAAAACTGCACTGATTAGATCACAGAGGAGCTACAGCAAATTTCTGGGAAAGACAACCCATACCACCAGTACTGTGGAAAGGACTAAATGCAGCCCAGGAGAAAAAGCATTATTTACCACTTCAAGGATAACAAGTCATGTTTGCAGTTCATCTAAAGAGGTAAAGCTACCTTTATAGGATCACGTGCTCCCCACTGAACTTGTGTTACTTTTTAGTTATTTTATTTGTATTTTAAATGTAGATGATGTCATAGTTTTTCATTTGACCTTAATTTTATGCCCGAGTCTTAATACTCTTAGAGAGATAGTGACAGATTTAGGATATAAAACTCACCAAGGCAATTCAGCCAACAGAGTTTACTCCCTGGCACACTCTTGGGAGAGAAAAAGGGAGGCAACTAACTGCTTAGATGCATTCTAACATGTGAAGAGTAAAGCCATGACATTTAGTCCTTGCTGTCAATACAAGTTGTCGTGACTAGCTGTGAAGAAGTGTCATAATTTTAGAGCAGTACATGATGTAGACTTTAAATACTACGTGGTTTAAAAAAAATTGTATCAAAGAGTATTTGATAGTGCAATTAAGACAAGCAATTCTCTAAATATATCAAAGTCAGTAATTTTCATGTGATGACATTTAAAAATTTTATTACTAACCACTGGCCTTCCTGCAGCAGTAGGTGGTTGTTTCGCCAACTGTGACTGCAAAAAACAAACCCATGTAGTGTTAGATATTACAATGACTACGAATACAACCCCAAATTTGTATTGAGAGTGTTGTTAAATGAAACACTGGCTGCTTGTTTTTATACAGAAAGTTACCTGCTGCTTCATTAGAAACACTTGGTCATCTTCTGCTACAATTTCTTTTTCATGAACAAACTGCAATACAAAAACATTAACATAATTTTGACAAAAAGAAAGGAATTTATTTCTTTTTATACCTCCTGGTAAGTATGACCAAGGCATTCAATAATGAAGTAAATGTGTAAAATACTATGTTGACTGCAGACCACATCTATATTTAAGACTGCTACCTCATGATTCCACGTAAGCTAAATTAATTAGACATGAAATAGAAATACAATTAACTCCTTTGACCCGGCAGGCATAAGTCTCTAGATATACTTGTAGAAAGACCCATTAAAGAGTTCAAAGTGTTCAGTAAAAGAGGAATGAAGTAAATGGTGACAAGGCACATTCAGGGGTCTTGAGAACAGTAAGAAACACTCACAGATGCACACGCTCTGCAGCATGCTCACATCTCCATGAATTTATCAGGGCCCCACCATGTTATTATTTTATAGGTAACTGTGGCAAAAACGACTCTTCACCTGTGTTGCATTAGACTGCTACATGAACTGGACAAAGACATTTCAGATCCCAGTTCTATGCATCAAGTTGCGCTCTCCCTCCAAATAAGCTCACCACAACTTTGCCAAAAAAAGCATGGCAAATATCAATATAAAAGTTTATAATCCAGGTCTGAAGTTTATAAGCATGCAAAAAAAATGTCAGTTATATATTCCTTGGACACATATATATTACTACTGTGTGTTAAATATCTTGATAAATATAGTAATATATATATATACACACACACATTGATTTTTTTTCCATAGAGATCGAAGAAAGGACATAGGATTTGTTTTCTCAGCTAAAATAATTCACAGTTGGAAATATGATCAGTCCCAAATTCTTAGCTTTGTTAGAAAAAGCCACAGAAATATCTGCCTTCAGTAACTTCTGTACGCATGAGGTCCACTGCTCTGGCAGTTTGTTCAACAACCTCACATACGTTTTTGGGTAGTTCTGTCAAAGCCTTTTGTTAAATAGTTTGAGAGAGAAAATATACTAAATATATGTAGAACCTGTTTTCACATATTTATTTTTGATTTTACACTGTCTCAAGCTTTCTTATTTTAAATACTCCAATAGAAACAGAAAGCTTTATAAAGTTATGAGCGACTCAGAGCAAAATTGAGGGTTCTTAAAATACTAACTCAACCTGACCAACTAAATGACACTTAAGACTTTCCAATACCAAATATGTACTAAAAGCAAAACAGGTATATTTGTAGTCTTGAACAATGTAACAATGGCAGGAAAAAAACCCAAAAAACAACCCACAGTGTAAGCTGGAGAAGAGCTATACAGAACAAAATACATAATGGTTTTTTGATAACTAAATAAGAAAAAACCCTTCTCAAGTTTATCACACTCTTATGATAAACTGGAAGTAAAGTCTCAAAGAAAGAGAAACGGTCAAAAAACTGTCAGGTAAATAAATAGGTAAGAATTTGAATGCCAAAACAACTCAGTTTACCTTTCTGACTGGTGGTTTAGTTATGATGTCTTCAAAACTGTCTTCTGCTTTTAGTGTCTGAAAGTTCTCGTGCAGTATGCCTATCTTCTTGTCATTATCCCAACCTGCAGGACTACATAAAGGATTATTTAGCTTTAAATTCTATTCTTAATTCAGGTTATTCTTGTATGCAATCCAGAACTGCACAGAACTGAAAGCCAGGAAAGTTGTCATAGCTCCCATTCTCCTGTGCAAGCTAGTTATTGATTAGTACAACTGGACAGAGATTGGTTCACCATAAGAGAGAAGAGCAAATCGCTGGGTTTAATATTTCTCTTTGGGGCAGCGAGCATTTGTAATCTCAATCCACTGGCACTCACCAAACTCCAACTCAAGAATGTTAAATGGAACTTTGAAAAGCATAAACAAAAAAGGCTCTAAATGCTCTTTTACAGTCTTACATGAATACATTTTGTAGTCATATACACATAATAATGCAGGTAACTTACATAAATACTGCATCTTTTTCCACAACAACAGCTGGAACATTGAAAGGAAATCCATACAACTTCTGGACTATATATTTATACACTAAATCAATGTTTTTGTTCTCCTTTACTGAAGTGTAAATAAGTGCTGCCCCATCTGAATAAACTTGTTAAAGAAAACTCAGGTTAGTGGCTAGTGAGAGATACTAAAGTGACCCTTTTTTGTCAGTTTAAAGGTTATCTACTTTGTAGAATTCAGAGGTGGAATACAAAATCAAATACATCAAACAACTTCCAAGACTTAAGCTGTTTAAATTTAAGTATTTCTTTCCGCATTTGTTTTAGGCTAACTCAACTATTGCTTTTAAAGTACAGGCTCTTCTCACTTTCAAGGCCCAGAATACCAACAGTTTCACTATGATGCCTTCAAAACAGTCTTCTGCTTTTAGTGAACAAAAATTTTCATGCCATATCCTTTATCTTGTCATTATCCTATCCTGCAACAGAGACACTACAGCATCGACAATAGTAGCTTAAAAATGCCAAAGATCTTTCATTTCCCCACTTAAAGTTTTTAAATTAGGGGAGCAAGTTCTTAACATTATATAGTGATCTGCTTTTAAATGAAATGAAGGCAAATGAGTTGTGCTATGTATCAGTAACTAAAAGACCAAGACTGCTTAGTATTCCAGCGTGGTTCAGTATCAAATTAACACAGCTTATGCATGGGATTAATAAAAGCAGCCAGGGAAATTTTGACTAATTTTACTTTAGGATTGTAAAAATGCCAAACCCCTTAATTTATTTCTACATGCATGCAATTCAAATTCTAGAAGAAAGTTATATAATGGGATCCAATTCCCATTCAGTGACATTTAGACTAGAATTCCAAGTTGTACACGGTACGTACAATCACAGAGACTAATTTCTACTAATCTTTTGTATTCTTCCTCCATTCACAAAACTTATCACAATTACCCGTAATTCAATTTTCAAGAATTAGGTCTTGGAAGTCTTTTGAAGGAAGCGCCATCTTGGTACTCAACTGAAGTCGCAGGGTCTTGAACGAATTTTTCCATCTGTTAACTGCTGTCTCTCCAACAATACTTAAAACTTCCTTGTACCACAGCACAAATGATGACAACACAATGTAGGCTTATTACTGGCATCTAAAATCTAGCCCTCAGCATGTCTAGCTGACTAAACACCACCAAACAGTATTTTAGACACTTCTTTTAAAAAATGAAGTTTAAAAATAATAGCAGCACAGGGACATCTTATGTACATTGTCTCTGTACCAACACAGGAGAAGCCAGGATCCTTCCTACAGGAACTCACACTTCCTTCCTTCCCTCATCACCTCATCCTGTGGAATTACTGAACTCTGAAAAGACTGCATATTTGGGTCAAAAAGAATAGCATCTCTTATGTGCATCTGAAGCAAGATCATACTTAAAATTAGTTATTTTGTTATTATTTTAGGGAGCTTGTTAGCTTAGATGTGCTGATTTCTGAACTGACTCCTAACTATGGAAATGAAGACAAGTAAAGAAATTCATGGTAAGGTGACATGCTAGACTGTTGCAGCTCTGTAAAAAACAAAAACAAAAAACCAGAAAACCAGAAAACCAGACAAGTTTAACTCAATATTGTCGTGGTAGCTGAAGCAAACTGCCAGCTACAGTAAAGTAGTTGCATGCTTCTTCGGTACAGATGCAAATATTCTTTTAAGCTGGTCATAATTAATGCAAAGATTTAATTGAGTCATTATCATCTTTATGAAGTGTTAAAGGATACATTGTAAGCAAAACCGTCTGATATGTGACTGAATGAAGTCGAAGTGTTCATCTCTGTAGTCGTGCTCTTTTTCCAGAACACTGATGGCATCACACTATCAAAATAAAAAAATTAATATACCACTTTCAGTTATCTGTTGAAATAGCAGTGCTGCTACACATCCAGTTCACAACTAGGCAAGGGGGACGGAGTGGGGTAGGTGGTGCAGAGAAAAACAAAAACACGCTGAGATAGTTTATAAGCATAATTGAACGGGGTTTTTTTAGTAACATAACTTAATGTCCAGGTACTGTGGTCAGCACTAACTTGGGTGTTAACGTGATTGCTGTCTTTCATTTGCTCCCCCTCCCCGCCTCCAATGCAGTAACTCAAAGTGTCTGTTGAAGACTGATCCACTGAATGACCACCATTTTCTGCCCAGTGTTTTTTGTTTTTTTTTTTTGTTTTTTTTTTTTTTTTTTTTTTTTTTTTACACACTGGTATTACAGGATAGTTTTTTTGCAAAACAAGGTGAAAGCAAGAAATGTGGAAACAGAAGGAAAAAAAAAAAAAGGGGTGGGGAAAGGGAGAGGAATAACAGAGCACCAGCAGGTAAGAAAAAAGGCACTTTTCAAATGAGAGGATTAGCCGTCCAGTGAAGGAACAGCATATGCATCACAAAGTTTAGTCTTTCACTGTGGGCCAGCAGAGGCTGCAGATGCAGTATGCTTAATGCCAATGAGAACTGAAGAGCTGGGGGGGACACGAAGGAACGGACGATCAAACAACCAAGCCACAACAGAAGCACACTATTTTTTTTTCTTTAGACTAAGAATCTGGTTATACGTCTAACAAACAACAACAGATCACAGAAACACCCTAAGAACTGAGGAAAGTTAATAGAGCAGCACCTTACTAACTAGAACCCTCAAAAATATTAATCCTCAGAAAAAAGATCAGAAATATAAAAAAACCTACCAAAACACTATTTGCGGAATAAGGACGACTGTGGAGATCAAGGGGAATTCTAGTTGCTTACTGACTAGCTCACTTCTGTGAGCAAAACCAGGTCTGAGGTAATCCTCAATTCCTTGAAAACTGGTAGAACTAAAGGAAAAACTAATCCCAAAATAACATGCAGTGAGGGCTTCCAGAAGACAACCAACCTTCAACATCAAACATTTTTAAAGAAATCTTATACAAAGTATTCAGAATGATTTAAGAACCATGTGCTTCCCACCCCAAATCCACAATTGACAGAGTTGCTTAAAAAAAATAAAATATGCAAAAAGCCTAAAATGTGAAACAAACCTTTGTACAAACTACTACTACTGGAATGCCTAAGTTACATGTTAGTGTATCTGCACCCAGGGGTAAAATCACACTGTCATCTTTGTCTTCCTGTAATGAAGTATTTCTTCTCTGTGGAGAAGCTGGAAAATCCTCGCCTGGTTCTACATATTCCTGGAAGTCTCTTACCACTGAAAGTAAAAAAAGTTATATTAAAAGACCAGCTACTTTATTATTTCAACAATGATTTCCACTGCCCTTGACCTCTAGCACTGTTGACTGCATAGTACTTCTGCTTCTTTATGTTGAAAAAATTAAGTATGCACCAAGTGCTGACTATTTGTTTCTCTATGCAGCACACGAGAGAACTAGTAAATCTGACATCTGCTTGATCGGCAGCCAGAACATGACCAGATAAAACTGTCCGTAAGGACAGCATTAACCCGTTTTTATTTCATCCTTGTGGAACCGCTAGGCAGTTGCTATTAACTATTATTGCTTTATACGTTGCCTAAAGGACTCAAGTTTCCTTGCATTCTTCTTGGAAAAAATTAATGGAACAGTTTGTTAGAATAAACAGAATTAAGCCTTACACGTACTGCTCAGCTGCTACTGTATACCAGATTTTACCTAAAGCCCCTTTGTCCACACTTCTCTGTGTACAGTGAATCTACAGTAGTAATAAGCAAAAATAATCAAATACACAAACATTAGTTATTAACTAGCTTTATGATTTGTTAATAGCATATTAAATATTTGGTATGTTTTTACAATAGATCAGATACTACTTTAAAATCTAGCAAGGAGGGTAAGTCAGAATATAATAAGAATTAGAAAAAAAAAAAGATAGTTACAAGTGTAACTCTCTTGTCAGGTTTCAATGCATACACCTAAGCCTCTAATAACACAGTCACTTGCTATTCCTACAAGTCAGGGATGCAATATTAGGCATAAAATATCTGTACCTTTCACATCACATGTCCCTTTTCACACAGCAGAAACAGGATTCTATCAAAACCCACCTCTGATTACTTTTCCATGAGTAACACATCCTGATTCAGCCAAAAAAGGAGGCAGTAAGACAGTTTAGCTGAATCGTGCCCACTAGCAGCTAACTACTTTAGCACATTCTCACTGCTTTGTCCCCATTTATGTTAATCCACCCCTACCTTCACTAAACTCATTGAAGCCCTCTGAGTTATACCTAGAAAAGCATTAGTTGAGCAAGACTTATTTCAACATCCTAGAGAAAAACAGATTTATTAGGCCAAGATTATTCAACTTTCCTACAGTTCTTGGAGCTCACAATAACAAAAAGCACATGCACGGATTATCACCTCTACGTGAACAGTCAACTCGGGCTCTTATTTAGGGAATGCTGCTACTTCAGTCTGGTCTGAGAGCCTCCCAAACTGACCGTGTTTTAAACCCATAGTTCTCACCAAGATATGCCTGCCACTCAAGGGAGTCTTTCCTACACAGCATCCTGTCTGTTCTAGGATAATTGCATGCTAAAATAAAAATCACACGACTCCAGTGCCAGAAGTCCTCCAGTGTATTCCCAGAATTCTCACTGTATGATCAAAACATACTAATCTTTATACAAGTACAGAAAACATTAAACATGGGGACTGATGTCGTATATCACAGCTCAAACCGTGGAATGCAATCTCAGTTCTCTCTTAGAGACACAATGAAAATGACCAGGCCACAAGGCTTCATTAGACAAAACTGAATTCAGTAACAGGAAGAACTATTCCAACCCTTCCCACATAGCTGCTACGTATCCCCTAATGCCCACCCACACCAGTTTTAGTCCTCACAGCGTCTGTCTTTGGGTGCAGTTAAGTCGCTAGAAGTGAAAGACAAACACAGCAGCACACCTCCAGAAAACTACAGGCACAAAGCCTCGGTAGATTTCAAGTCTGTTAGCAAGTTACATCAGCTCATAGAAGCCTCTCAGGAGCACTGAGCCTAACGTAAGAATAAAGTAGGACCATGTAGCCAGAAGTCAGGCAAGCAAGACTCCTACTTCTTCCTTTTATCAGTGTCAAGCTGCTGCCCGCCTAGCAACGCATGAGCCCATCACAGAAGGTTCAAGGCAAAAACCAGCTTCCAGTAGTATCTGGATTGTATCGAGGGCTTCTGTTATACCCAACATGCAGATCACCAGCATCTGTAAGATTTAGACCAGATAAAACTTTTAATGAGTAGCTGTTTTTCTTGACTGACTTCATCACTTAAATTTTCTGGATTTTGTAGAGTTTCACTATTCTGTTTGCTCAGTCAGTAAAGCAGCAAAACTATCAGCCTACACATTTTTGATGACAGAGGTATTGTGTCCTTACTAATTTCATGCAGTAAAATCCTATCCTGAAACTCTTTGGGGAGGCATTTAATACACCCTCCCTGAAAACAAAACTAAACCAAAACCCACACCCAAAAAAAGCTCAGCTCCTCCCTCCTAAACAAGTTCTTGTTGTGGAAGATAAAATTCTCAAGGATGATGCTTCCCTTAGAAGAACTTTGCTCTCAAAACACCCCCCACCCTTCCAGGGTATCTGCAACTGTCACCTTATGGGCTGCTTTAGGCACAGCTACAACCTGCGTTTCTGAAAAAGCTATTCAGCCATCTGACAGTTGGTTGCTTAAGAACATACCAGTTACAGAGAGCAACTTCAGACTTCTAAACAAAGTTTAATCATGTTATTTGATCTTAACACACAGCTTTCTCAAATGCTTTTCCTTGTAGTAATTCACTGAGAGGTAAATTTTTTAGTACCCTGAGGGAAATACTACGGCTACCCAAAAGTAATACAGAGCTATGATGTTAGTGAGTTCAGTCAGTTTAAGGAATCCTGCAAAATCTTTGTGTTCTGCACATTTAAAACTCAAAAACAAGACACTGACAGAGCTATATCATATCCATGCCAAAACACACATATAGCTGCATTAGTGTCAATAATAATAATGACAAAACCCTTCAAGTAGAAAAGGCTCAGACATTACCAAGCTGTCATGAATGCTTTCAACATTTACACTTTTGGCAGGCAAAGAACAGGTCCCAAATTCTCTAGACTCACTAATTGCAGGAACAGTTAAGAAGCTGATGCAGTGATTTGCCTTTAAAATAAATAAATAAAACATTGAAAATTAAGTTTTTTCACTTGGGAGAATCTTACCTAGAAAAATCTGTAAGAAGCAACACTATAAATTTAACCCAGCTGCGTTCATTCTGAAAGCCTGCCCACCTCCCCACACCCCCCCTTAAGGTACTTCTGTTAGAAAGAAATAATCATATTTTTAATACAGCTACTTGAGACTTATCTGAAGTCTGACTTGCTTGATAACTCCTAACTTTAAGTAACATTTCCAAAGAATGAAAAAGACTGCAATGGAGAGAGTAAGTGGTGCAGAACGCATTAAGCGTATTTGATTTAAATGGATTCCTACATATTTGCAGAATACTCACACTTTTGTTCCATTTCTTTCATTTCTTCAGGAGGAATTTTTAACTTGTCAATATGTTCTCTTACAACACTTGCCCATTTTTGCAAAGAATCCAGTGCAGTCCAAGGCCTAGACATGTCTACTACCAGCATAATTAGAGTGTCCTTTAGAGAGCTTGCCTCCATCGCAAATTTAAGAAGGCCTTTGTGATACAGGTCACCATCCAAAATCCATACATTACATCTTGTTTGGTCTACAAAAAAACGAAAAACATTTCATGACATTTACTTGAAACAGTCCACTACATAATGGCTATTAAGTCTTCTTTAGACATGTAAAACACAAGGAAGGGGTCACTGCAGGGGGGTGGGCCAGATGATCTTTAAAGGTCCCTTCCAACCCAAACCCATATTGTATGGTTCTACAATACACGATACAGGTCTTGCAGATTCTGATACCACCAAGACAAAGGTTTTTCTATATGTTCAAGAAGATAAATACATGCTACAATAATTGAGATGCAAGACAAGATCCTAGGCACCTTTTCCTCTAGGTCTGAGGAATGCACATCCATTCAGAATGTTGCAGCTAAGACTGCTTCCCTTGTCTTTTGTTTTCAGCCTTTTCTTCTGACTGGTTCCTCTCCTCCTCTACCACTTAAGTGGTCATTCATGGTATGTACTAAAGGAATTACACTGAGAAACTTCCTGAAGGTACAAATCACTCATGGCCTAGGCTGGGCTCCTGCAAATTATAAAGAACGAAGGACAACCCACTGCGATTCCAAAT